AAAAGTCCACTCATGAAGGCATTGCCTGGTCCATTTGCTCTGTATGTGGATTAGCTGAAGTCTGGGCGCAATAATGAGATGTGGTATTAAAAACTACAATTTAGCTAGGGTCAAATATTGTATATCTATTTAACAACATTAGACTTCCCTCTGGTAGATTGCACATTGTCAGCAGTCTGTGTGCTAAACCTGGAAGGCTGTTGAGCTCATTAATATTAATTGCTGTGTTTGCATTTGTCTAAATTGATTTGCTAAAATCTAATTATGGCCAGTGATAGATTAGCACTAGCCAATGGGCATCAGTTAGACCCACTGCCAACCAATCAGAAGGCAGAGGCTTTTGCTTGGTCTCAAAGTTTTTTTCTTCTTCTTCTTCTTCTTCTTCTTCTGTAATTAGTCAGTTGGGTCCCTTAAAAATCTAGTCAGCTGAGATTGTCTCTTTCAAATGAACAAAATGTCAAAATATCAAGTCAGTGTTTTTTTTTTCCTCTTCTTTCCTGAAGCCAAGCAAACACTAGACTGAAGCACATCACATTTTTCATGTGTATGTCTGAGACTAAAACACCCCACATCATAGCCGACAGTCCCAATGGTCTTCTGTTGTGTGCACTCATGAGATGTGCTGCAAGAAGTTGCAGGTACCAAGACAAATTTCAAACGTGTCTGTCTGTCTGTCAAACAAGTCAGGAGTGCACAGTCTCGATGAGCAAGAGAAGCAGCATGAGCAACAGCCAATGAAGTTGCAAGAGTGTGGAGGGCAGTGATGGAACGTAACAGGAAATTTAGTATCATAAAACCTAAGTGGTGGAGGAAATTATTTGATAATTGTTGCAGATGTTCTGTGATATGTCATCTAAACGTTACAGCAATACCACTGAAAACAAGACACTTTGAGTCTTTAATTGCAACAGCCTTCTTTCTAAAGGCAAAAATCTGTAATAATGCTATAATTTCACATTAAAGTGGGTTGTAAATATACAAATGACTAATAATGTGAATGTAATGTCACTTTTTAAATTACAATTTTTGGTAACACTTTACTTAACACCTTTATACAATGCATTCTAAAAGTAATTTTCATGCACTAATTCTGCCTTAATGCACCTAAATGCACGTATGATCTCATGAATAACTGTAACTACAATTATAATACATTATAATACTCACCTATTATTATTACACCTTTAAAAAGGTATAATGCATCTATCTATCTATCTATCTATCTATCTATCTAAACATTAACATTAACCTCTCAGTTTCATATTTTCAGTAGTTTGCACATTAGCACTGACTTTTTTACTATTACATTGTTTTACTTTAATAAACATTCAAACACAGTAGCAAAATAGTGAACACTACATATGTCACATGACTCACATTTTACTCTTATATCCATAAAAATTAAAGATACAATGAAATAAACTTGACATTTCACAAGACATTATCACATCTGAAAGAAATAATTAACTATTATTCACCCTCAGCTCACCTGCGTATTTACGCATGAGAGCTCAATTTGCCATATCGTGTGCACATTTTAATGTCTATTTTGTGCATATGCAATGTTTATATGTTCTGGTATCAAGGAGAACCCATTTTGTTACACATCCCACACAATAAAACATCCTTTAAATCAGGGTGTTTGGCTATCTAATATATAGCTACTCTAGATATAAAGATAATTTTAAACACGTGTTATCTCATAACATGTATATGTCAACAGTGTGGCTCCCTTATAATTGCATTCTTCACTTTATTGTGAATTATTACAAAATGTACACGCATAATGACATCATGCAGATAAAGAGATTAAGTGATTTTTTTTTTTCTTTTAGAGATGAAGAATATGAGGAGCATATGGGGGAAAAAATACTGTTAATTAACACTAAAGAGTCTCAAAGGTCTTCCAGTACAAATGAAAGCCTGAGGGTGGAATTGCAGACATTCAGTGAATGGATGATTTATGATTGTCTGTGGCTGTCAGGAATAATCTGATATTTTTGTTATTAACATGATTAATCCATCATAATTGAATCAGCTGGAATTTCACTGTGTTTATATATATATATATATATATATATATAAACACTCTATACATATCAAAATTACAAACTTGTTTTTTTTTTTTTTTGCTTAAGAAAGCAATAAGCAATTTTATGCTACCCACATTTGCCTTTTGCTATATTGTATTAAATGAATGTGTTCAGAAATGCCTTTATTGTTATTGTTTTATTATTATTATTATTATTATTATTATTGTTTTCCTTTAGGTTCACTTAATGTGGCAATTTTTCACCCTGTCTATGGCTCTCTGACTAAAAGGGAGGCTTATTCTTCATGACTTCTATATAAATGGACACTTTTTTAGGGTCTTTGCATAGGAAGTAAGTGAAACACTCATGTACCTGTATTAATAAATCCGGATGGCTACCTGAATACAACAATACATATTTTAAATGTGATGAAAAACATCATTGTAGCATTGAATTTGTCTGCTTTTTCTTGAAAACACTGCATACAGGTAAAACATGCCATTAGTACTTTACTGAAGTCAGTCGATACACTCAGTGTTAACTATCTGCTTCTGTTTTGTGATGGAGTCTGTGATTGATGGCTTTGACTGAAGTCCTCGATCTCAGGCCATCTCGCTGTTCCCCTCTGCCAGTGTTTGCTTCGGTAAAGCGGCATCTCTCACTCCATCCATCTCTGCCAGGGGAACCAGAGGCTCTCCAACCCACACGTCTTTTGTGTCTCTCATTACAACCTCCTCTCCAAATCCACCACATAGTTACTGCCTCTCCTCCAGCATTTTTAACCCACCGACACCAGCAGACTTCTTCCGTTCAGCGGTGCTGGTGGATTGGTGTGACGTTCCAGCATCGTCCTTATCAGTCACGCTGATCATTTCTGAGGTCAGGCATTGCACAATGGGAAATCAGTGTGCTTTGAGTGATGGGGTCGGTGAACTAGTTCGAGACAGGCAAGTGTACGTGTTTTCATGCTTAAGGTTCCTCTTCAGGAACTCGAGCTGCGTCGGAAACGCTAGGGGAACGCCTTCTGTGAGTGAGTCTCTTGAGTGGAGAACCTAATTAACCCTGATCGCCTGGAATATCTTTCACAATTATAACACATAACTTAATCCCAGATTCATGAACAAGTGGCATACTACTGCACTTCACTTATGATGTTAACTCTTCTCAGAATTTGTAAAATTCCAATAGTCAAATTAGTATGAGCATGACTGTTCATTAAATGTCACATGTTTTTTGTACTCTGTTTGACAGATCTTTATGGGTTTTAATTAGATGTTCCCTCCTCTTGCAGTGCTTAAACATTTAACCTACATTATGAGAAACTGACACAACACATATCACTGCAATTAGTGTGGGAAATAACCAAATCTGATCTGTGTTTGCAACTTTCAAAATATGAAAATTATGCTTTTTTTATGGATGTTAATTTGGGGTATGTGTTATTGGAAATACATTAAAGCCTGTTCACACAATAATGATAAAGATATTAGCATTCACACCAATGCTTTAAATGCTTCCGCTCTTTAAACTTTAAACGAGAAAAAGGTGTTCCTAAAAGTGACTGCAATGATATCATTCCTCTATGCTGTTATCATTATAGTTGTGGTGTGGACTGTTCTCTTATTAAAGCAATTTTTAAAATGCTATATCGCTAGTTATCATCTTTGGTGTGAACAGGTCTTTACTGGTCCATAAATATTCAGTAAGGTCTTACTAGAAGTTGAATTTTGAGATGATACATTTTTAGTTTTGTGATGATGAAAAATGTTTGCATTGTTAGACACTTCTTGAGCATAACCATTCCCACAATAATTAACTGTTCTACACAGCTTGCATGCTGTTGATGAACAATAGCCATAAAGCTTGCAAATAAATAAATAAATATTAGTAAATTATTAATTAATGTAATAATTTTATTTTATTTGATGTCAAGGTTGGCTATTTGCAATCATTGGAAATCCTCTCTCTCTCTCTCTCTCTTTCTCTTTTCTTTTTTTTTCGACACAGTGTAAAAGAGGAAGAATTAATATATTTATGCTTACTTAGCTTTGGCTAAAATCTGTAGTTGTCATAACAATATACAGCAGATGATTCTTAATGATTTGTGAACTGCACATATTTACACACACAATGAACTGATTAAACTGGTGAAAGTTTCTTAGAAATAGCACAAAATAAGAGCCATTATGAAAGTTGTATCTTCTTATGTCGATGTAATTTATTAAAAATACAGTTCTGCCTCATGAGTGATTATGCAAGACCCATATCCTTGCTATTTTCAATTGACCATTTAAAATGTGCCCTGCCCTTACAAATAATTGTGGATTGTTGATGATGAACCAAACAAAAGAATCTGGATTGTGTGCATATTTATTTATTTATTTATTTATTGACAGACTAAAATTTAACTCTGTTGCAAATATAAATCCTGACATCAGCAGTCCCTTTGGCAGTGATTTCAACCTTCTAGGACTGTGTGCATGCATCAAGTCATATGAAGTGTGCATAATCACGCTCAAAATCATAACCATGCTTAGAGAATGCAATGGTAAGGTGTTCAGTGAAAAAGCAGTTGCATTGGTCTTTTCTCACCCAACATTGATTGTTTTTTGTTTGTTTTTTTGGTGTGCTTTTTGGAGCATCAAAGTTTGGTCAGAGTTCACAGTTTTCCTAATAATCTTTGCAGAAGAATGTCGTATACATCTGGGATGGCATGAGGGTGATAAGTTTTATTTTGGGGTGACCTATTCCTTTATTGTTTTCTTATTTTATTATTGTGAGTTGGATTACCATGATATTGGCTTCATGCACCAAAAACACATAAACATATTAAAATGTGGTTAAAATACTGTAGTTAATTAATGTATTATTTAAAAAAAAAAAAAAATCATATAAGTCCAACCCTAACCCTATAGATACAGTACATATATGTATATACAGTATATATATATATATATATATATATAGAGAGAGAGAGAGATAGATAGATATATAGATAGATAGATGATAAATAACCAACCTTGCCAGTTACTCTTAGCAAATTGGTTTGCAGCATGAAATCAAGGTTTAGGCTGAAGCCAAGGACACTAACAAGCAACCTTGATGTATGCTCAGTGTGAGCTGCCTTTTAATGCCTAATATAAGGCACTTTATTTCACACAAATATAAAAAAGGTCAAACGTTCATGGGTGGACTTTTGTTCAGCAGTCTTCACTTACATTACAGAATCTCTGAGTACACAGAAAAAGGAATACAGACTCCTTTTTTTTTTATTACGTTTTGCAGCACTTTCAAAGGTAAATATCCAGTGAATGGTGCTAAAAGCATGTTTAATTTTCACCAAAACTGATGAATGTGAATCTGGCAACATTCACAACATTGGTTGGTGTACATATCACGGCAATTTGGAAATGTCTGGTGAGTGGCACTGAAATTGTAATGCTCTACTGCTTCGAAAATGATGTAACACCTACACTAAACCCTACTCTAAACCGAACCAAAAGTGTTAACAAAAGCAAACATGAGATAAAAATGAAACTGCTGAAGCAACCATGCCATTTCAGCTTGCTTCTACAAATTTTTGAGCTCCTTTATTGTGACTTGCGCTCTGCATTGCAATTGCAAAATGCTACAGAGCAAGTTTACTACATTAGAAAAGCAATGCATATGGAGCTGGTTATGTGATACAAATATCAAAATTTATTCATTTACAAATCATGCGCTATGATAAAGTGTTTTGATAACATAACATATAGTGTTGTGCAAGGGACCATGTGAAAAATAACATTTTTTTTTTGTGTTCTGCAGAAATGTAGGTATTACATATTGTGCCTGCAATCTAATGCTGGCAATGCTTTTCCTGAATGAAAGAAAGAAAGAAAGAAAGAAAGAAAGAAAGAAAGAAAAAAAAAAACTAAACTAAATTTTAGGTTGTTGTGGCTGAGCAATTCTTTAGAGCGAACTGATGCCATTTTGATTTGTAGCAAGACATGAACACTAAGATATTATATAAATATTGCACTGCCACTCTCTCTTTTTTTCACACACACACACACACACACACACACACACACACACACACATTTTCAATTGCTGTGCTCCTGTTGGTTCTTGATTAGACTGTCTTTGTTGGGCCAATCTGTACACTGTATGCTCCAAAATGTATGTCACAACTGAAATCTGAGACTAAGAATCATCGCAATGGCAATTTATCACCCGTTGGTGAGCATGTCACACTAAGTGATTAAAGAAAGTCACTAAAGAAATGTTACAGATATCAAAAATCGACTTACATTCTCAGTAAGAATAGAATACTGTTTATTAATACTGTACATTTATATTTACATTCATGCATTTAACAAACACTTATGCAATTTACAAATGATTAAAACAAGCTATTCATCATAAAGAGGCACATAACACCAAAAGTGCTAGTAATGCAAAGTTTCAAACATTGTTTATAGAAGTACAAGCTATGACAAGGAGGGATTAAGGGAGAGTGGAAGCTTTTTTGTTGTTGTTGTTGTAGTTTTTTTAATAGGATGCAGTTAAGTGCTCACTGAGGGGATGATTTTTCAGCTGTCTCTTGAATATTGTCAGGGATCTACACTCTTAAAAATAAAGGTGCTTGACGATGCCATAGAAGAACCTTTTTGTCTAAATGGTTCCATAAAGAACCTTTAACATCTGAAGAACCTTTCTGTTTCACAAAAGGTTCTTTGTGGCGAAAGAAGGTCCTTCAGATTACAAAAAGGTAAGAAAGAGGTGGTTCTTTAAAGAACCTTTGACTGAATGGTTCTTTGTGGAACCAAAAATGGTTCTTCAATTGCATCGCTTGAAGAACCTTTTGAAGCACCTTTATTTTTAAGAGTGTAGGCTTCAGTCTTCTCTCCGAATCCCTGAAGAGCAGCGTCCATCTTCTATGGCATCACTTGAAGAACCTTTTGAAGCACTATTTTTAAGAGTGTAGCATTCCAGATGAGATTGGGAAGATCATTCCACCAGTTAACACAGTGAACGAAAATGTTCGAGGCATAGCTCACTTACCGACCTCAGGCTTCTGGAGCCTAATAAATAATTGCACAGAAACAAACAATTAACACAATATACATTTTCTAGTAACTACTATTAACTAACAAGAAACTGGCACAAGCATTTAGTGTAGTGTGAAGAGAAATGTCTGTCAATTTAACAGATAATGTCCTAAAATAAAATTTGTATTTATATGTTTTTTTTTTCTTCTTCTCTCTTTTTTGTCTTTCTTACAGTGTAATGCAGGACAAATGACTAGTTATTTTTGTGCCTGACCTTATTGAATGCACATTTGTAGGAGTTTCACTTTCAGACGCAAACTTTATGGGAGGAGAGTAGGCTATTCATATGAATCACACGATGCGTTTTACTAATGTTTGCGCTCGTCAAATTACTGGTATTTGCGCCATTATTTAATGCCCCCCAAAAAGCATATCTTAAACTATTTTGTGCTTGAAATGGCTGCATTTGTTGTTGCTAAGAGGAGGCACTATAGAGAACAGAGAGCGCGTGGTAGAAGGGAGGGGATTTTTTTCCACACATATTAATTTATTTGGAATGCCAGAAGAACACATTATCCGAACATATCGTTTGCCAAGCCATGTTATTTTTAATTTGCTTCAGGAAATAAAAGACGACTTGTAACCCTCAACTAGGAGTCACGTAATACCAGGTCTATCAAAACTTCTTGCAACCCTTCATTTTTTGGTCTCCAGTTTTTTTTTTTTTTCAACATACTGTGGTTTCTTTATTTCTTTATTCTTGATTGGCGACTACGCTAATTTGTGCTGCGCATGGTATATTGCGTTGGTCAGTATGTAAATTAGATGTTGCATCTGTGTTCTTTAAATTTGTGCGCTAATTTGCCCTGTTTAGTAAAACTGGCCTTAATATTCTACCTAAAGAACTATTTAACAACTATGTTTTTTTTTTTTGTTTTTTTTTTCAAACAAATGGCTTTTAAATGCAGTTTTTGAGAACTTTTATGGCCAGTTTCCCAGCATCAGTCTCTGAACTTCACCTTTCCTTCTGTTTGTATCTTATGTGTCAGACAGGTCCACACTTCACATTAGATCATTATAGAGTCATGAAGACATTGATTCAACAGCCATACCCCAAATGCCCAAAAATAAAATTGTAACCCATACGGTACTTTAACATACCTCACATAAATACGTGGTTCAATGTATGTCTCTTACTTCAGTTTTCATTTCTTTTGAGACATATTCCTCATGGAAAATCAGGACTTACTCACTGAATGACTCCAGCACCTTCAGATAGTCACTGAGCAACTGGCTGTGGGGCAAAATCACTCAAACCACAAGGTCAGGTAAGTGAGGCTGAAAGTGGCTACACCTCTTCCACAACTGGATCTCTGAAGAGGAAATTATGTTCTGTTGACCACCTCTGCAAATAGTTATTACGTCTTCAAGGAGTACCCTCTAACTGTAGATGGTCTGTCTCACAATGGTCTGTCTCCATTGTGAATTTTGCTGCAATTGTCAACATGCATGTTTTGTCTGTGGGTGCGCCCTCAAGATTCAAGCAACACAGAGATGCGGCTGCCTCAAAATTGGCTCCTTCATGGACAACGATAACTTGAAGTTGCAGAATACTACATGTCCTTGTTCCCAACGATGCTTATGCCAGTGAACTAGGAGAGAGGACTCTGCTTGACCTCGTAAAGTACTCCCGCATGCAGGAGAGTCAAGAAGAGTGATGGAAGAGGTTTGCGTCAATGGCTGACAAACACCCATACAACATACTTTTAGAAATGCGCCAACAGGGACACAAGGTCAGTCAATGTGTCAACAAGCCATGAATATTGGGTTGTTAGTACCCCTCCTCCTTCTGGGATTTGAACAACAGCTAGATGCTGATTTACCAAAAAGGCCTATCCAGTGAGGAGGAGTGAACCATTCATTAGACGGATAGATTGGTTAAGAGAATGATTAACACATTTGGCAAATGCTTTTATTCAAAGCAAATTACATTGCATTCAAACACATTTTGTCAGTTCTTGCTTTTCATTGGGAATTGAACCTATGTCACTGGCTTTGGTTAATTGCTTTCAGAAATCCATTCCTGGTGTTTAATTTCAGAGAGAGCAGGAAAATATGATCAGCTCATGAATTGTTGGGGACAAATTAAACGACTGTTACAGTTTTTTTTTTTTCAATTGCTAACAAGCATTTATCAATACTTAAAGTACTTTTTCTAAACTATTAACACAGCAACACACCTACATCACACAATTAGCCAAATAGTTCATTTTCTGGCCAAAACCACATTTTGTTAAATAAATACAAACTCTACATTTCAAAATGCCGAATACCTTTTTCTACATTTACTAACTCTTCATCAAAACACAGCAAACCCAAATCAAAATCGAGTCATTCAGTCAAAACATTGGCACTGGTTTTCTATCCAATAGGAACATGTAGTCGATTATAGTGCATAGACTGTCAAAATCATAACAATTAATGGCATTACAAAAACTGCATTACTTATCATGTCTCAGTTCGACCTGTATAGAACATAGATACATTAAAAAAAAATAATAATAATAATGGAATGTAAAAGAAAAGTGACATAATTGCTGCAGTAAACGCTTTATTGGCAAATTGAAAAATGAAAATTTATGTGTCTGTAAACATACATGGTATTAAAGCTCTTTCTGACTTTCTGACAAGTGAGAAGGAGAGGTAGGGGGCAAAAGGCTAAGGGCTATATGACAATATGAATTATTAAAAAAAAAAAAAAACATACAGCCTTTTGCAAATTAATGCTATCTTTTTAAGAGGGTCATCCTTTTAATAAGCTTTTCCTTCATTTTTTTAAACCATATTTTTTGACTATCATAATAATAATAATAATAATAATAATAATAATAATAATAATATAATCTTATAAACTCTACATTTTATTTGTGTGTGTGTGTAAATGT